TAGAGAAAAGGAGGGAATTGGGAGGGGCTGTTATAAACAAAAAGTATACTGGAGTAAACTGGGAGTTCCAAGTGTAGTGGCTTTTCATTGGCTGTGCTGTTACAGAGCAAGGAGAAAACCCTTCTCTCCTGCTGTAGTAAAGCAGTACGGACTTGCAAAGTATCTCTGTTGGTTCTGCAACTGACAAGTGAAGGCTCCCCCTTCTGACCTCCCAACTCCATTTTTGTTAGGTTTCCCTTTATAATTTCCACACTACTATATACTTTGCAAAAGGGATTGCCATTCCACTTCTCACAAAGTTTTTAGAATTTATACTACAATGTCAAACAAAGTTGTTTTTAAAAGTGCATACTTCTGGGGTGCCTGGGTGGCTCAGATTGTTGGGCGTCTGCCTTCGACTCAGGTCATGATCTCCAGGTCCTGGGATCGAACCCCACATCAGGCTCCCGGCTCGGCGGGGAGCCTGCTTCTCCCTCTCACTCTGCCTCTTCCCCTGTTTGTCCTCTGTCTCTCTCAAGTGAATGAACAAAATCTTAAAAAAAAAAAAAAAAAAATGCATACTTCCCCAGACCTCTTAGCTTCCAATTATACCCTACAACTGTGCTACTCAAACACGGGTATCTTCAAATCCTCAGGGTTACTCAGCAGTGTGCTAAGGGGTACACAAAGTCTCAGGACCAATGGGTACATTTTCTTGGAGTTCAGTTTGAATAGACAGTCATTTAAAACCTGATTTTTATATTAAAATAAGTATATTTTTAACATGTAATGGAAAATGGGCATAAAATTTTTAAATGAGTCATAAAAGAAATTATGTCCATGCAGCATGCTGCTTTAGAGTATGCACTCAAGCAAGGTTGGGAGAGTAGAAGGAATGTAACTTGTTTTTTAGGGGTAATTCAAGGGAAATGTTTCAGAAGTTCTGATAAACAGAACTAAGAGATTTAAGAGAAAAACTTATTCCAATCTTCTTGCCTAGCCCAAACTATTCCAGGCAAATGGGAATACACTGTTCTATAAAGTCTTTTTACTTGGCTTTCTTTTCACGTAGGTTCTAAGACCTATCAGACTGGGATTCTACTTCACATCTTCTACAGAAATATCTTAAGATTACCAGCAGTAAATGGGGCTCTTGGGTGGCTCAGTCAGTTAAGCAGCCAATTCTTGATTCAGCTCAGGTCATGATCTCATGGTCCTGGGATCAAGCCCTGCATGGAGCCCCAAGTTGAGCCCCTTGCTGGGCACTGCACTCAGCAAGCAGTCTGCTTGAGGATTCTTTCTCTTTCTCCCTGTTCCTCACCCCACTCAAATAAATAAATAAATCTTAAAAGAAAAAAAAATTACCAGCAGTAAAATGCTATAACCACATTAAACCTAGACAATGCTTAGCTCTACTTATGTGTACACTTAACTATTTTAAGAATGCCTAACACATACCAGGTTCACCCTGCTAAAGTCTTTTAACTATGAGCTGGTCCATAAGGTGCCTGAACCCCTTTGACTCTTAGAAGAGTGTTCTCTTTAGTATTTCAACCAGAAAGTTAAAAAATAGGGGCGCCTGGGTGGCTCAATCAGTTAAGCATCTGCCTTTGTCTCAGGTCATGATCTCAGGGTCCTGGCATCGAGCCCCACCTCGGGCTCCCTGCTCAGTGGGGAGTCTATTTGTCCCTCTCCCTCTGTTCCCTCCCCACCCTGCTCATGCTCTCTCTCTCAAATAAATAAAATCTTTAAAATAATAATAATAATAATAATAAAGAAAAGGCATATGACCACATATGTTGGCAGGAGTGATTCCTTTACACTTACTAAAAATATACACTAACTGGGGCACCTAGGTGGCTCAGTCAGTTAAGTGTCTGCCTTCAGCTCATGTCATGATCTGGGGTCCTGAGATGGAGCCTGAGTCGGGCTCCCTGCTCAGCAGGGAGCCTGCATCTCCCTCTCCCTCAGCCTCTCCGCACCACTCCTGCTCTCTCTCTCAAATAAATAAGATCTTAAAAAAAAAAAAGAAAAGAAATATCACTAACTGCCAAAAGAGTCACATGATCAAGTTAGTAACCAAAGGTAAAAAGCACACAAAGGTTACCAGATACCAGGTAACCAGGAAAATCAACTGACTGGGCAAAAATGGCTTCTCCCAAAACTTACTTCCTTCCAAATGCATAGAATTAAGATTAAGTATTGAGGGCCCATTCATATATTCCCAGATGCTATGAAGGGAATTGCTTCCAACGTCCAAGAAGTTCAACAAGAGGCTAGTGAAAGATCTAAATCTAAACCACCAAAATTAAACTGGTAACCCCTCTGAGGAGCTAAATGAGCAACTACACCCATGGAAGACATTCATTTCAGCTCCTCGGGACACCTCTAGATTTACAAAAGAACCAGGGTGCAGAAATGCATATCCATGTTCCTACAGTTCCTGAAACTACCAGAGAAGGAAGATACTCTTGGTTTTCAATTGTTTGGGGTTCCAGAACCCTTGGAGAAGGTGGTGAATACACTGTACCCTTTCTTGAGGGGAAACAAAAAATCCACACACACATAGAACAAAAATATCCACTCACACCCACATAGAACACTGTACACTACTTCAGGGTAGCCGTTGCCCTCGGTTAAGATCATCCTGTATTTCTACCCAATAACGGAGATTTCTCAATTCAGAAAAACTGCTCTCAAGTCCAATTCGCCTAATTAGGATACTCAGACATTGAGGAAGATTTCACAAGCAGATCATAAAGTATACTGAACTTTATTTTTAAAAACAGAACTTCTATGTCTAAATGAATTGTCCTCATTCAAAGAGTCGCCCTAGGAAACCACACTTGTTATTTCAAGAAATCCTGAGCAAATCATTTAGAATTCCTGTTCTGAAGTAACCTCCAAAACCAGTTTTCACATCACGTAAGACAGGGGGATTCTTCACAGACACACCTCATGTCTCACTAAAGAAAGACTGTGTTCCAGCTTGCTATCACCTGGCCTACAGAGCAAACTTTCAAAGTTGTAGCCTGACTCAAAAATAAAATCCACCCAGAAAAAAATAAAGGTCCATCACTGCTGTGGGTAATTTTTCAAAATGCAATGGAGGATATAAATGTAATTCCAAAGTAAAAAGATCCAACAATGTGTTCAGCTACTGTAAAATCACAAAAATAAGTGTAAAGCCTCCTCAAGTGTCTACTCTGAAAAGAATAATGTTCTTCAAAATCTTTTATGTTTTGATATAAAATTTATTTATTTAATAAACAGGTGGCGGGGGGCGGGAGGGAAGCTAATGTTCAGTATGCTTTCCAGAATGCCTTCTCTTACTGGGATCCATTTTAATAACAGCTTTAAGGTACTAAGTAAAATTATATCACACTCATATATTCTTTTAAAAATCCCTTTCCCACAAATATTCTTTGTTCAAGTGCTCCACAAAGTACACTATCTTAATGAAATTCTGAAAACAAAACAGCTGAATTTAGATTTAGAAATCCACAGTACAGGGGTGCCTGGGTGGCTCAGTCATTAAGCGCTGCCTTCCGCTCAGGTCATGAGCCCAACGTCGGGCTCCCTGCTCAGCGGGGAGCCTGCTTTTCCCTCTCCCACTCCCCCTGCTTGTGTTCCCTCTCTCTCTATCAAGTAAATAAATAAAATATTAAAAAAAAAAAAAATCCACAGTACAAATGTGTATTTACGGAATGACCAGAAAACAATACAAATTCCTAGTAGGGGGAAATTCAGTAATGAAATAAAGTATCCATGTTGTAGATCTTGTTAAAAATTATTTTATAGGGCGCCTGGGTGGCTCAGTCGGTTAAGCGACTGCCTTCGGCTCAGGTCATGATCCTGGAGTCCCAGGATCGAGTCCCATCGGGCTCCCTGCTCGGCAGGGAACCTGCTTCTCCCTCTGACCCTCCCCCCTCTCATGTGCTCTCTGTCTCTCTCATTCTCTCTGTCTCAAATAAATAAATAAAATCTTTAAAAAAAAAAAATTATTTTATAGTTACAGCTTGTTGTGTTCATTTCTAAAAAGAGATCACACTCTACCTTATTTGTTCAAGGTCTGGTATTCACAGACATGGACTAATAAGCAAGACAAATTTCAACAAGATAGTGTAAGATTAAATTAATCAAACACCCTTGATATTTTGAATGTTCATCTGTAGGAAAATTCAATATCCAAATTGTTATATTAGTATCATTAATATTATTATTAATATTAGCCTTGGCTATCATACTCCACAGACCTGAGTCCCTGTTAACTTACTTATAATTTAATGTAAGTGGGTGTAATTTAAAGTAAACCCAAGGATCTTTAGAAATCTGAAAATACTAGTCATAAGGAGTAAATATTCTGAAAGGACGTATTATTATTATTATTATGGATTTGTAGATACCACAAACACATGGTTTCCATATGAATGGCCCACAGGGGATTTTTTAAAAACCCCTCCAAATTATATATAGCTTTAAAGAATTTAAAAAGTTTATTTCTGCTAATAAAATATAAATATATACAAGTGTGCAAGGTAACATTTCTTAACTATCTAGTTTTTGAAATGAGAAATAACATGCTCAGTAAAAGAGGGAAAAAAACCCTCATTTACCCTAATATATTCAAACACTGATAAACCAACTTACCTCATTTTCTTAAATTTATTTGCAATTTGAGCCCTTCCATGGAGCTCGGTAAAAACTTCAGTTTTATAATAGATTGTAACCTTCCTACCAGCCAATCAGACATAGCTTTACCATTTTATAACACTTTCCACATCCAAATTTCAACATCCTGGCATGTTCCCTGCCTGACCACCTTCTTTTTTTTTTCCCTAAGATTTTATTTATTTATTTGACAGAAAGAGAGACAGCGAGAGAGGGAACACAAGCAGAGGGAGAGGGAGAAGCAGGCTTCCCGCTGAGCAGGGAGCCCGATGTGGGACTCGCTCCCAGAACTCTGGGATCATGACCTTAGCCGAAGGCAGACGCTTAGCTTAACGACTGAGCCACCCAGGCTCCCCTGTCCACCTTCTTTTAAAAAATACTATTACCGGGGCATCTGGCTGGCTCAGTAGGTATAGCATGAGACTCTTGATCTCAGGGTCGTGAGTCCAAGTCCCACAATGCGTGTGGAGCCCCCTTAAAAAAATAAAGTAAAATAAATAAATGTACTATTACCAGTGGGAGAGTCTGCGTTGTGTGAATGGAGGTCTCAGTTCTTGGATTCCGCATGAAGGATGTATGTGAGGATCCACGCTTTAATAAAGACAGCCAGAAAGCAAGTAGCAAGCACAAAGCAGTACATTAAGGACAGTACACCCTCAAGGTGGGAAAGCAGGCAGGCCTAGAGCTGGCCACGCACCGGTCAGGGGTGTCTCACAGAGGTTATAGCTAGGCAGTCTCCAACTGAGGTTGTTTCCAATCATCTAAGGGACTCCTCCTAAGGGTTGGGAGGGGGAGTTTCTGGCCCTACAAGGTACTTGCCAGTACAAACGGAACTGTCAGAGCCATCTTCCCCCGGGGGGGTTGGTGGGGGAGGTCAAAACCACAATATAAATATATTATAATGAAGCCACAGGTTACCCTGGGGCAGCAGTTGAAGAGGAGAGCACAGGTTCTGCACCTGCGGCTCTTCGTCTGTCAGCCCCAGGGTGCTGGAAGCAGCAAGGCCAAGATGTTAAAAGCCACAAAATCAGGATATTGTGCCCTCAGGCTTCTATGTGTGCTTCTAAGTGGCACCTATTTATCACTTTTGCCTCCAGGTCATGTCTAACTGCTACTCTATCAGTACTTGCTTTGAAAGGGTCAAAAAATAAATCTCTCTGGGGCGCCTGGCTGGCTCAGTCAGTGGAGCATACAACTCTGGACCTCACGGTTGTGAGTTCAGCCCCATGTTGGGCATAGAACTTAATTAAAAAACAAACAAAGAAATCTTGCTTACAAGAGTACTCTGAAAATTAATCAGTTAAGGATGAAAAGATATAGCTCCTAACTGCCACATAAATAGCAATTATACACCCTAGGGAGTACATTCCTTAACTAGTACATGCAAACCTCAGATGTGCTTAGGCAGAGATGATTACACACCAAAATCCTATACCACAACTTGAAAACACTCAAATAAGGATGTACCTGCCTAGGTTCCTGGTGAAAAACAAGAAACTGACTCAGGTTAGCTTAGGCAGAAAAGGTGCTTGTGCCTGGCCAGGTTTCGGGGAGCTCACTGTCTGCAGAGGGGCTGCAGATGCAGACTCAGACTGGGGCCAAGCAGGGCAAAGCACAACAGAACAGCCTCGCCTGCCGGAACGCTGCGGGAGCCACTGCTCCAGCCACTACTCCACCCCAGGAGACACCCCAGGAGACAGTCACCTCCATCCACCTAGACTCTGGACCATAGATACTGTTACCCGTCAACCAGCGCAGCTGCCTCCAGTAGTCTACACAGGCAAACTGAAGCACTCAGAGCTCCTTAGACTCACAAGCCCAATCTGATGGCCAGAAGTAGGCCACGGTAGGCCTGCCTGCCTTGGGCTTTAGCACAGGGAGGTTGAGCCCAGCTTTCCATTGGCCTTGGATTACCACAACAAAAAAGAAAACCGAACACAAAAAAGATAAACATCTGCCACAGAAGGGTCTACAAGAAATTAAACTGGTAGGGTACCTTCCAGATCTAAAATACTATGAAGAGTTCAGGTAAAGATTTAATGCTCATCACATTAAACAGAGAAATGTATCTTACTGATGAAAATAATAAGGAATGAAGAGCCTATTACCTCAATCTATTTTCACAGAGAATAGATCTGATGGAAGCTACTCATTAACAAAAACAAATAGTCAATTAAGCTCCTCTTTTATTTATGTATTATAGATTTATTTATCTATATACCTTTGGCTGTGGAAAACAAGTGGAATTGATTTTCCCCAATGATGCTACATAAAATATTATATTGTTTAGAACAAATATCAGGAGGGGAAAGAGGAGTCTATGAGAAACTATCAAGTGCAGGCAGAATAGACATTTTCCGCTCCTCTACAGAACACAATTACAGAGTCAGATTTTGGCTCAACATACATAATTCCTCAAAACACCTGAAGGAATCCAAACAGTGAAATAATTTCTACAGCAAAAGAGTGCGCTCCCCACCACTGGAAGTGTACGAGCAGGCTAGGCGGCCAACATTAGGAGCACCGTGCAATGTGCTTGTGCATGCCGAAACTCTAATCCCAATGTAATTGTAATTGCAGATGAGCCTTTGGGAGGTAACTAGGTCACGAGGGTAGAGCTCTCAAGAATGGGATTCGTGCCCCTTACAAGAAGAGGACAGAGAGCTGAGTAGCTCCCTTTCCACTATGGAAGGCACAGCAACAGGGCAGCCCTCTGTAAACCAGAAACCAGGCCCTCACTAGAAAACGACCATGCCACCACCCTGAACTTGGACTTCCAACCTCCAGTACTGTGAGAAATGTTTACCATTTAAGCCATCCAGTCTATGGTAATTTGTTATAGCAGCCCAGACTGACCAAAACAAACATGAAAACTGCCAGCACTGAGTAAGTTGATCCAAAGAGAGTTCTGAAGGAGGAAAAAAAAGAAGACTGAAATTAGCAAGATAAAATTTTGGATTTGGACTAAAATATTGACCAAATATAGGCTGGCACAGACATGAGTCTTGGGTATTTGGGGAACTACCTAACACAATCTTAGATTTCATTAGAAGAGTAATGTCCAGTACCCAATCTGCTCAGACCATCTGAGAGTCCTGAGTTCTTTTTTTTTTTTTTTTTTTTTTTAAGATTTTATTTATTTATTTGAGAGACAGAGAATGAGAAAGAACACATGAGAGGGGATAGGGTCAGAGGGCAAAGCAGACTCCCCGCCGAGCAGGGAGCCCGATGCGGGACTCGATCCAGGGACTCCAGGATCATGACCTGAGCCAAAGGCAGTCGCTTAACCAACTGAGCCACCCAGGCGCCCGAGAGTCCTGAGTTCTTCTTGGGGTTTCCCATTTTAAAAAGGACAATGGCACACTTGAAAGTATCTAGCCAGTGATGACCAGGACTGCAAGGCATCTGAAAACTGTCTCAAGAGGAGAACTAAGATAAAATAGGGATGATAACAAGAGAAAAGAAAAAAGATCTGATCAAATCTGCTCACACTGCTCTGACAAGATACCACAGACTAAATGGCTTAAGAACCAGCCTCCAGGCCTCTCTCACAGATCTAGAGGTCGGAAGTCCAAGATCAAGGTGCCATAGGGTTGTTTACTGATGAAGCCTCCCGTCCTGACTTGTAGATAGCCACCTTCTCACTATATCTGTCTCTCACAAAGAGAAATCTCCGCTGTCTCTTCCTCTTTTTTTAAGAACACTTGTCCTATAGGATTAGGGCTCCACCTTTACGACCTCATTTAACCTTAATTACCTTCCTAAACGCTCCATCTCCAAATTTAGTGACATTGGGGGTTAGGGCTTCAACATACAAATTCTGAAGGGATATAAATCGGTCTACAAGATCCAATCTTAAGTACATGAATGACTACGACTGAAAAGGATACTCATTTGTTTATTCCTGCAGGAAGCAAAATCAGAAACACAGGGTGGTGGCGCCTGGGTGGCTCAGTTGGTTAAGCTTCCAACCTTTGATTTCAGTTTAAGTCATAATCTCAGGGTCATGAGATGGAGCAGGGAGTCTGCTTGAGATTCTTTCCCTCTGCCCCTCCCCCCATTCTCTCTCTCTCACTCTCTCTCTCTCTCAAATAAATAAATAAATCTTAAAAGAAAGAAACAAACAAACAGGGCTTCTAGAGTTGCACTAGATGAAGTCTAAGCTTCTGTCAACTCTACTATCATAACTATTATTATTAAACTACAGGATATACATTATCGGGTGCTTCTTATGGACCAAACTTTGTGCTAAGCAGGATTTCACTGACTCTTTATATCCACTCTGAGGTAAATACTACTACTACAGCCATTTGTTGTCACTTATAAATGACAGTTCACTCTTGCCCGGTGTCACAGTGCTGGTAAGTGGCAAAAGGACCAGATCCCAGGCAAACTCCGAAGTCACCTACAGAGCTTTTAACCATTACATTGAACAGCCTCTCTAAACTAGTAAAAGACAGTAAGTACAATCCAACTGAGGAAATAAATCCATTTATCAACAGAAAATCACACAGAAGAAAACTAAAATGCTAACAACCACATTACCACCATTGTTTATTTTTCTTCCCCTGTACCAGTTCATCTTCACTGCACACCAAGAAGGCAGGTATTATTACACAAAATTACGGATGAGCAAACAGGCCCAGAAAGCTTTCCTCAAATTCATACAATGACTAAAAATATCTGGGGTCAGGATTCAAACTAAGGTCTGAGCTATTCTTCATGCAAATCTTTCATAACTATAAACCCCCTGTTTATGGGACTCTCACTTGGCTCAGGCCCTAAGACCTGATGGATTTCAAAATCCCTGGAGTTGACCAAATTTCCCAGGAAGGGCCAAATATAATCCTATGTGCCTTCAAGGGGAAGAGATCTAAGGAGAGCAAATTAGACTTTTCACCACCAAGTCCTATGGCCCATTTGACAAATACTTACGGAGCCCCTGCGATGTGCTAGTCCCAGGGAACATGTAGAACAGCGAACAAAAGAAAATCCCACTCACCTACCCACTACATGCTGGTAGAGGGTAGACTGAACAAACAAACGTCTAATACAGAACACATCAAGTTAAAAAAGAAAGGCACAGAGAGTGAAGGGGCAGAGGGCTGGGGGCAGAAGACCCAAGAGGTGCCATTTTAGAACTCGTGGTCAGAGAGACTTGTGTTTGGCACAGCAGGCCCACTAGCTATTACATCCAGCAGGTCCTACAGTCTTGACTACTGTTCAGTGCATTTTTCCTTTTCACCAGATCAAAGGGTAGACCCTAGTGCTAACTGAAAACAATAGGTCAAACAGAAAGAAAAATCAGAAGTCTTTTTCCTTGACCTCAAGGAAAGCAGTTACCATGTACTGTTGCCATGGCATTGGGAAATGGAGAAAGCAGAATTCTAACACCAGGGTAGGAAGAGAAATGCACTAGCAAGGAGAGGACAAAAGCAAGTAGAGGTATATCACTTCCCTGAAAGTGTGGGTAAGGGGAAGAGGTCAAAGCTATGAAGGATAGGGCGCCTGGGTGGCTCAGTTGGTTAAGCGACTGCCTTCGGCTCAGGTCATGATCCTGGAGTCCTGGGATCGAGTCCCGCATCAGGCTCCCTGCTCGGCAGGGAGTCTGCTTCTCCCTCTGACCCTCCTCCCTCTCATGCTCTCTGTCTCTCATTGTCTCTCTCGCAAATAAAGTCTTAAAAAAAAAAAAAAGCTATGAAGGATAATGTCTTTGCCTAATCCCCACCCATTTTCTATACCCCTAATACATCACAGTTCTTAATGGAAGAGTTAGCAGAAAAGTAAAAAGAAAAATACACCAAGTTTCTGAAGTACTCTATATCACATTAGCATATCTCTAAATTGGTATTTTCTGCAAATTTCATCTTTTGGGCCAAAATGTACCTTAGATTTCAACCAGCTAACTTAACACCTAATATAAATGTGCCTTCTTAAACAAAGTATGGCCCAGGAGTGGAGGGCTACATGGTTAGAGTGGAAGAAACATGCTGTAGGGTTAGGCAGAACAGGATTTATATCCTTTCTGCCATTTACAACTATGGGACCCTGGATAAGTTACTTGGCCTATCTAAGCCTCTTATTCTTTACCTGTAAGATTAAAACAGAAAGATTAAAGACTGACTTATAATTTTATAAAGGTATAAAATCTGACTTATAATTGTATTCATTCCCTGGCTTTAAACACTTCCAGTATCTTTAACTTCTACTTCAGTATCACCTGTGATGGGAAGGTGAGGCAGTTCATTCCACTGGTAGATAACTGGAATAAAAGAATTGAAAAATTGCACATAAAGTCAAAATCTTCCTTAATGTGTGAATAGGCAATTCATGAAAAAATATCAACTCCTAATAAACATATGAAAAAAATATCTTAACTCATAAACAAAGGAGTACATATTAGCCAAGATTTTTTAATTTAATAACACCAAGTAATATCATCAATTATGGGGACATAGGCATTGTATCACACACTGCGGGCCAACATACATATGATCTTTCTAGAAAGAAATATAATGATATGAATCAAAGCCTTAAAAATGTGTATTCCTGGGGCGCCTGGGTGGCTCAGTCATTGAGCGTCTGTCTTCGGCTCAGGTCATGATCCCAGGGTCCTGGGACAGAGCTCCACATCGGGCTCCCTACTCAGCAGGAGGCCTGCTTCTCCCTCTCCCACCCATCCCCGCTTGTGTTCCCTCTCTCGCTGTGTCTGTCAAATAAATAAATAAAATCTTAAAAAAAAAAGTGTATTCCCTTCCATCTACCATTCATACTTCTAAGAAATTTCATAAGAAAATATTAAGTGGATGTTCTTGCAATAAAAATTGCATTGCAATAAAAAACTAGAATCAAAAGACCGACTATTCAAATAAATTACAATCCTCCATATAATGGAAAATACAGTCATTAAAAATGCTTACATTGGTGGGTGCTGGGTGGCTCAGTTGGTTAAGCGACTGCCTTCAGCTCAGGTCATGATCCTGGAGTCCCGGGATCGAGTCCCGCATCGGGCTCCCTGCTCGGCGGGGAGTCTGCTTCGTCCTCTGACCCTATCCCCTCTCATGTGTTCTCGCTCTCTCATTCTCTCTCTCAAGTAAATAAATAAAATAAAAAATAAAAAAAAAATGCTTACATTGGAAAAACATTCACAATGCATATGAAAGTTGAAAGGCTATTTATTTTATAGAGAACTCAAAATAATCTTTTTTTTTTTTTAAAAGAAAATGGACCCCTATCTTACACCACAAACAAAAAATCAACTCAAAATGGATTAAAGACTTAAACATAAGATCTGAAACCATAAAACTCCTACAAGAATACACAGGCCTTGACATTAGCCTTGGCTATGATTTTTTTGGATATGAGAGGAAAAGCTAAGACAACAAAGGCAAAAACTAAAAAGCTTCTGCAAAGAAAAGGAAACCATCAACAAAGTGAAAAGGCAATCTATGGAATGACAGAAACTATTTGCAAATCATGTATCTGTTAGGAGTTAATATCCAAAAGATATAAAGAAATACAACTCAATAGCAAAGGAACAATCTAATTAAAAACTGGGCATAGGAAGCGAAAAGATACTTCCAAAAAAGACATCCAAATGGTCAAAAAATACGTGAAAGATACTCAACACCACTGGTCATCAACAAATGCAAATCAAAACCATATTCTGATATCACCTCACAACTATATGAACAGCTATCATCAAAAAGACAAAGATGGGGTGGCTGGGTGGCTCAGTCAGTTAAGCGTCTGACTCTTGATCTCGGCTCAGGTCATGATCTCAGGGTCCTGGGATCAAGTCCCATGACTGGGCTCCATGCTCAGCAGGGAGTCTGCCTGGGGATTCTCTCTTACTCTCCCTCTGCCCCTCCCATTGCTCACACATGCGCTCTCTGTCTTTCTCTCTCTCTCAAAATTTTTTTTTTTAAAAAGATGAGATAACAAGTATTGGTAAGGGTATGGAGAAAAGGAAACCCTTCTGAACTGTTGGTGGGAATGTAAATTGTTGTAGTCACTATGGAAAACAGTATGGGAGGCTTCTTAAAAAGTTAAAAAAAGAACTACCATGTGATCCAGCAATCCTAATTCTGGGTATATAGCCAAAGAAAATGTAAACAGTATGTGGAAAAGATATCTGCATTCCCATGTTCATTGCAGCATTATTCACAATAGCCAAGATACGGAAACAATGTAAATGTCCATCAATGGATGAATGGCTAATGAAGACATGATGTATATGTATATTTATACATATATATTATGCACATTATGTACATGATATATAATATACATACGTTTATATAATATATATAACACATATATACATAGTTATATGTATATATAATGGAATATTATTCAGCCATGAGAATGAAAGAAATGCTGTCATTTCCAACAACATGATGTATCTTGAGGGTATTATGCTAGGTGAAATAAGCCAGAAAGAAAAAGACAAATACTGCGTGGTATCACTTATATGTGAAATCTAAAAACAAACAAACAAAAATTTTAAGTTAAAAACACTTATGCTGAGTAGAAAAGTGGTTTATAGGAGCTACACGGGTGGGGGAAATAACGAAAGGTTGGTAAAAGGGTACAAATTTTCAGCTACAAGATGAGTAAGGTATGAGGACCTAATGTAAAATATGGTGACTATAGTTGATAACACTGTGTTGCATGAATGAAACTTACTGAGATTAGAACTTAAATGTTCTCACCAAAATAAATATTTACCAATATCCATGCTCCTCCACTTCTGGGTACTGGGAGGACACAACTCCCCGGCTCCTGAAAGTTGGGCGTATAGAGATGGGAGTAGTCAAGACCATGTGCTCCAGAATCACAAGGCTGGGTTCAAATCCTAGGTTTTACTTACTTCACTACGTGACACAATAAAAACTGTTTAACCTCTGTAGGCCTTAGTTTCCTTAACTAGGAATAACAACACTATCTCTTAGGGACATTTTGAAGATTAAATAAAATTTTAGCACAAGGTGTGGCACAAAGTATTAACAGTAATAGCAATAATTATCTTACTATGTAACAGGCACTGTTCTACTAACTTTACATATAGTAACTGATTTTATCACTTAATAAAGATTAGTATATTATTACCACACTGCTTATAATTGCAAAATCTGGAAACAACCAAACTGTCTATTGTAGTGAACTAGATAATTAAAGTTACACAAAGGATGTCTATGTAACTGTTATATGGAATGAAATAGTTCTGTCCATGCTGATAAGGATCTCCAAATTTATTATGAACCTTTTAGAAAAATGTGTATGATCCCTTTCATATAAACAGAAATGGATAGATGGTGGATGAATGAATGCTAAAATGGACATAAAAGTATTTCTGCTTGTTTATTTTTAAAGTGTGGTACATGGTTAAGAAATGGGCTCTGGGGCCAGACTGCCTGAGTCCTATTCCAGGTTCATTTCTTACTAGCTCTATGGCTTTGGAAAGTACTTAAAACACTTAGCCTCAGTATCCTCATCCGCAAAACAAGATTAATAATAGTATCTACTTCTTACAGCTTTTGTGAGGATTAGAGGAATTAACAGATAAACCAGCCCCTGGCATAGAGTAAGCAACCATTTAGTGTTAGATGTTTTATTACTAGCCATTCAAATACGTCAACATGGGTTGTGAGATTACAGGACTTTTTTGTTTTCTTGTACTTACTATTTAAAAGATAGAGACAAAGCGATGTGTCTTTTGAAAATATAAAACTGTATTTATTGACATGAGAGAGGTATAGAATATGTCAAATGAGAAATGCTAGTACAAAACAGTATATGTATTAAAGCATACTTAGTATTATGTAAATAAACGTACAGAGAAAACCATTTAGATAGGCACTAAAATGTTACCAGGGGTTTCTCTAGGAGGGGGATTATAGATTAACTTTTATTTTTCTGTTTTTGTTTTCCCTATTTTGTGATTTTCCTAAAATGAACATACATTACCTGTGTAACGAGAACAAATAAACGGTCTTAATTTATTTATGTATAGAACCTACAAAGTAAGAGGTCAAACTGAGAGACTTCCAATGATGTAACCAGAAATGGACTTTAGAGTACAAACAAGTGAAGAGCACATGCTTTCCTGAGAACCTGTTAAGTCAGACAGCACAGTAATACCAAAGAAAACAATTGATAATCAGTAGCTAAGACTCTCAGCCTCAATTGGGCCAGGCTCCCACCTGACTTCAGGGAGGTATCCGGGGATTTAAGAACCTAAATCTGGTGCCAGGTGATCGCCCCAGGCTTGATGGAAGTCCAGAGGGCACTGTGGGCAACATTAAAAACCAGCACCACACCCCCCCCACCCCAGTTTCAACGTTTGTTTCACTGCAGCAAATCACCTGTGTGAACTGGGAAAGGATAACTAAAACATTCAAAATACCTTTGAAATAGTTTGCCTTATGACTCTTCTTTAAAAGTCATACCCTAACCAAGGAAGGAAGGTCAAACAATTTTGCTCAGATTTGCAAGTAGAAAAGGGAGTGTGAGGTTATACCCTTTTGCTAAGATTTGAAAAATCTGAAATCTGACAAATTATCAGCCACATAAATTTCAATTTGCCTCTTCTCTCGTTAACATCTCTATCTACCCTGACAGTCAGCTAGCTCTATGGTGGCTGGACTGAAGCGCAGCCAGCAAGCCTCAGTTAGCTCTAGGTGGTTTATACTGAAGGTATAGAATGTTCTTAGATCCCCAGCACTGCCATTCTCCACTCGCCTCACGTACGCACTGCTTCAGATCACTGCTTGACTTCCCACTTCCAAAAAGGAGCAAGGAGGAAATACTGTTTCATCATCCGCTATGCCTCTCCTCCTCTCAATCCCAATCTCTCGTCTCTCTCACTGACACTGACTCTCCCTCTCAACCTCTCTCCCTTTCTAGTTCCTTCTACAGTTAGCCATACAACTTCAGTCTAATCCTCTCACCACTAAGAGGTTTCTGAGAACCTTTCCATGGTTTAAAACTCTGTGATTTCATGACAGCCAAATAGAACACTAAACAGGAGGACCACCAGGACATTGAGGGGAAGCTGCATTTACCCATTTTTATTTTTCTCAGTAAACGTTTCCAAAAATGCCTACTACAAAAAAGTATATTCAACTAGACCCTGGCTGCATGTTTTAATTTTTATACATTGTAATTAAAAACAGAATGTCTTGCTTTTACTTTGGACTCTGTAATTCTTTCCACTTATAAGGAGTAGCTCTTACATGAAGTCAACTGAGTTTTGTATCAAGTAAGTACATTCTCAGTCAACAAGAGAACTTTAGGCATTGGACTAACAGAATCAAAAGTATCTTTCACTCCAGAAAAAGAAATTGCTGTTTTGATATGTTCTGCCCAATATTTCTTCCAAGAAAAATACTTTTATTATTTTATTACTAATATTTTATTAAAGCTTTTATATAAGCAAAGTATTTATTTTGATATTAAAAAAATCATGCTCTTCAGAACACAAAAGCCCTCTTTTGGATGTTAATTAATTTTTTAAATTTTACTTTAATTCCAATGTGTTAACATACTGTGTTATATTAGTTTCAGGTGTACAATATAAGTGATTCAACAATTCTATACATTACTCAGTGCTCAGCAAGATAGGTGTACTCTTTATCCCCTTCACCTATTTCACCCATCCCCCCACCGCCTCAAAAGAATACTCATATCTGTAAAATGTATTTATGGAAAAGTAGGTCATTAGATTCTTTATTGTATAAAGAAGTGGTTTTTGTTTTTCTGTGCTATATATACAAACAAACCTCCAAAGCATTCAGAGGTAGAATGTCCTCATGCAGAAGTCAGATTTAACCTTAACTGAATTAATTAAGAAATATTTATTATATACTTATACATACTTTAGGAGGTATTATGGAAAAGTGAAAACTATAACAAGTTCCTTGCCTGCAAAACGTTTACAATCTCACATGGAACTCAAATGTATACACATGATAAATACTAGGTACGGTATTTATACTTACGTATACCAAATACTACCACAAGTCAAACACTACATAAGTCACTAGGGATGTGAATAAAACTCCACCTCTGCCATAACAGGTCTCACAAGCTGGTGGGGAGCCAGTCCTTCATAACCCAGATACCACTAACCTGCCAGCTCCCAGTATGACCACTGCACTACGGCGGGAAGCCCAGTGCCCTTCCCAAGAAGGTGACAGCTTCCAGAGTACAAGGAGAGGTGAGGAGCTGGGGGTATATCATCTCATGGCCACTTCTTGTCATTTCTCATATTGTGAGAATCAATAAAGTAAAAGTAGGGCCTTCTTTGGTTGGTTGGTTTTTATCAGTCTGACAACCTTTGTCTTTTAATTTAGTCCATACATATTTAATGTAACTACAAATACATTTGTAAGATGTACCATCTTACTTTGTGCTATTTATCCCATCTACTTTATTTTAATCTCCTTTCTTGCTCCTTTCGAATTGATTTATTATTCTGTGGCCCTGTAAGTATGGAAGCCATATACTCTGTTTCTATGCTCTTATTATCCCAGAAATTACAATAAAGTATTAATTATTTTACTCTTCTATCTTATCTTAAAACACTTTTACACTATTTACACCTTTCACCCCTCCCAATTCAAAACACTGAGTTTCAGCCACAATGGATTTATTGGCAGTTCCCTGAACAACTTACGCAGCCTCTCATCCCA